GCTCCAAGAGCACAAGCCTGAACATGCAGAAATGATCGTCCTGTAAGAATACAAAGACAAAGGTGTTTTTATACCGTGAGTAAGTCATCAAAACCCTGAGCTGTGACATCATAGTTGGCACCTGACTCCTATAAATAGCAATTAAACTAAACAGCCATAGTCATGCGATCATACTGCAGCAAATGACAGGTTGTTTTGCAAATGATTAATATAATCTTTCTCTTTCAATACAATGCTTAATTAGTTGGTAATTTGTTGGTTTGGTAAGTAACTCATATTGTGTCTATCATCTTTGGAAGGTTGAGCTTGCACACAACACGAGCTGCCGGTTTTGCAGCCTTTTGACTGCAGCTATATTGAATCAATGATCCATCGCCTACCTTGAGCCGATCCATTCCCTGAGCATGTTTCTGGGTCTTGACAGTCTGGCGATTGACTTGGCTCAGTTGAATCTTCATGTCTCCTTCTAGCTTTTTCTTCATCCTCACAGCTTCTTTATTGCTCTTCACCGCAGAGTTCAGAATGCTCAGCATGGAGTCGATCACCCTTTAGCTACTTCTTTTAATTTCTTCCATCTCCGGATCTTTTTTGCAAACGTCCTGTCTGCTTCGGTCTTGACCTCCATGTTCAGCTCAAGTACTATCCTCCAATATTATACTTAAGCCATGTGAGCAAAGAGTTAATGGACTTACAGTATATTTGTGTTATATATACTCTATAGACGTATCATACACGTACATATCACTATTATCATCAACTTTAATTTCAATTTAAATATTAAAATAGAAGCTGCAAAAGCGTTATATTCGGCTCTAAGACACCAACTGACCCACCCAGCAGACTATATTTGTCTTCATCAAGGGTAGACTTTTTATTCTATTCCTGTTATAGTTGGATGATATCCGAATCATTGATAAAAAAGCGATCTAGTCTGTGGGCTACTGATGGTCAGCAAAATTACCTTTTGTATGCCTGCTGTCATCAACGTTGCGTGGAAGTCGGAAACAGTACCGAAGGAGTGGCAGACCGGGGTGGTGGTTCCCCTTTTCAAAAAGGGGGATCAGAGGGTGTGTGCCAATTACAGAGGCATCACACTACTCAGCCTCCCCGGGAAAGTTTACTCTAAGGTACTCGAAAGGAGGGTCATTCCGATTGTCGAACCTCAGATTGAGGAGGAACAATGCGGATTCCGTCCTGGTCGTGGAACGACGGATCAGCTTTTTACTCTAGCAAGGATCCTGGAGGGGGCCTGGGAGTACGCTTATCCAGTCTACATGTGTTTTGTAGACTTGGAGAAGGCGTATGACCGAGTTCCCAGGGAGTCACTGTGGGAAGTGCTGCGGGAGTATGGGGTGAGGGGGTCTCTACTCAGAGCCATCCAATCTCTGTACTCCCAAAGCGAGAGCTGTGTCCGGGTCCTCGGCAGTAAGTCGGACCCATTTCAGGTGAGGGTTGGCCTCCGCCAAGGCTGCGCTTTGTCACCAATCCTGACAGGGGATAGGGTTGGCCTCCGCCAAGGCTGCGCTTTGTCACCAATCCTGTTTGTAATATACATGGATCGGATTTTGAGGCGTAGTTG